TGTGTGTGTGTGAGAGAGAGCATTATTCATCATCAGCTGAAAATAAGAGCCTACTTCTCAGTTCTGTTATATGTGGACATACAGAATCAGTTAGTGTAATTCACTTCACCGGGGCCTTTTGCCCTCGGTGTGTATGTACTTATCGCTGTGCAGACTTTCAAGAGTGTGACAGAGAAGTGGACAGGAAAGGGAGCGCTGTCATTTTGAGAGTACGGTCCCTCCTCACATCCTTTTTTTTTTTTTTGCAGCTGTAAGGACGCTGAATGAATGAATAGCGTCTCTTTGTGTGAGCGCATGCACGCTCGTTTGTGTGCGTGTGCATTTATTTTGAAGATCTTCGAGTGAGGAGCACACGTGGGTGTTTTTCTGCGTTCGAAAGGGTGTGTGAGTTTTCGAATATGGTCTTAGGAGAGTGTTAAATACGAGGGAAAGTAGGAAACACCATGCGCGTATGTGTGCAACTAACGTGTGGCAGTTTGTGTAGGTGTTTGTGTTTTATTATCAGCTTGTGAGATATGAGCAAATGGTCAACTGTTTTTTATTTTAAGCATTCATTTAGTGTTTTTACAAATTATCTTAAATATTGTTGGTTTCAGAATATATTAGAGTAAATATTTTAAAAACACACTTTTAAAAATATTGGCTAATTTTTATGCTCTGGAGTCACTGGGAATTCTTTAAAAAAAATAAAATATGGAGAAATAATGTTAACACTTCTTGAGGATCAGTAGAAGTTTTCAGATCATATTTATACCAAAAAGTACACACACACATCTGATGTTGGTCAGAATTATGCTCCATAAGAAAAATCTCTCCACTGAAACACAGATTATTTAAAATGTGTTAACAACTCAGTGACGACACATTCGACCTATTCAGGGACAGTGTAACTTCTACGATGCATCGGGCCTTTGGGTTAAAATAGTATTTGCAAAAACTGCAACCAAACAATTAGACGAAGAGATAAAATGTGAAAATTAAATGCTCGGTGTGTTCTTGCAGTCACTTAAATCTCATCGAGGTTTGGATGAATTTACTGTGAAATATGTGGCAGGTATTTAAAGGACAATTTAGATTTGATACTTCAGGAAAACAACGTAGTTCTAACACCTTATAGGTCACTTAGTAAAGTGCAGATGTAATGTGTAAGAAGAAAAAGAGATCATGACGTGTGATACGAAGGGAGCAGGTTAAATTACATTTTGTACAATTCAGAAAAAGTAGTCCTCCTCTTTTGTCTGTGTTAAATACATTATAATCCCACACATTCACATTTATATTAGGGTTTTTTTTATTAATTCAATCAGAAATAAGGAAACAATCCCCTGGTTTAGTTTACCTCTCAACTGACACTGTCACACAATTATAGGACGAAGCTGCGTATGTTCTCTGCGTGTCTGTATCTAATGAGTAAGTAAATTAAATGTCTTTTTGACTTCCTGTAAAACAGTTAAAGGAACAGGCAGAAAACTGTTTGACGACAAGGTGAAGGATGAGACCGTTTCTGTCACGTGTGTGTTGCATGCAGTGTGTGTGTGTGTGTGTGTGTGTGTGTGTGTGTGTGTGTGTGTGTGTGTGTGTGTGTGTGTGTGTGAGGCCGAGTAACCAAGCGTCAATTCATTGAGATGCCCGGATATGGATGTGTGAGCTACCAAACGTCCTGTTGCCATGGCAACAAAGCAAACATCACAGCTGATGTAGCCTGTACATAACACAGAATATTCACAAATAGAAATAGCAGCCCTAATGTGTGTGTGTGTGTGTGTGTGTGTGTGTGTGTGTGTGTGTGCGTGTGTGTGTGCGTGTGGTGTGTGCGTGTGTGTGTGTGTGTGTGTGGGGCACGTGTGCTTGTGTCACTTTCCACTGAGAGAGGAGGAACTTCAGCGTGCTCACATGTGTTTACACACCAACACATTAGCGATGGCTCCTTCTTATTCCATCTTGGGTGTTTTAGTCAACATTAACTGAAAACAGAAACGGTCCTGGATAATCGGAGGGTTTCCTCTGAATTATTTAGGCAGTGACTGAAGTGTTCCAGATCAGATATCCTTTTTACACATTCATATTTACAACAGCCGTTTCCACACCTACAACACACCTTTCTGTCATTTTTAAAATAAAGAAACCTTATTATGTTATAAGCATTTATAGATAATATTTCTTTTTTTTTTTTACATGTACTGACAGTGAGAGTGTAGCGTTCTTGAGCGGCAGCTTTCATCAATCTAGCTCTGAAGTCAGTGAGGAAAGTGTGCATGGTGTCCTTTTCACAGAGCACCGAGATGACTTTGTTGCTGTAAAGGTCTTAAATGAGTTTTGTGTGTTCGTTCTCTTGTATCCAGATCCTGGTTTCAACAGAAACATCAGCTTCCTCTGTATGACCACGTCGTGAAACTGCTCGGCGTCTCGCATGCTGTGCTGCATGATTATGTTTGTGAACATAATTATTATTAGCATCATTGTTTCTTGAACAGAAAAGCTTTTATTGTACTTTGAGCATCTGAA